ACATTAAATGTCAGTTGCCACAATTTGACCATTTTTCTAGTTTACCTAAATCATTTGCCATTTGGCTTATCCCTCCTGGAACATCAACCCTGTTACATATCTTAGTATCATCAGCAAAAAGACATACCTTACCATCAAGACCTTCTGCAATATCACTAATAAAAATATTAAAGAGAATGGGTCCAAGTACAGATCCCTGAGGTACCCCACTGGTGACAAGTCCAAGCTTTGAATATATTCCATTAACTATAACCCTCTGTTGCCTGTCACTCAGCCACTGCCTTACCCATTCAACAACATTTGAATCCAAACTTAAAGATTGCAGTTTATTGATAAGCCTTCTATGTGCAACAGTGTCAAAAGCCTTACTGAAATCTAGGTAAGCAATGTCTACTGCACCACCCTGATCTATAATTTTTAGTTACCCAATCAAAAAAATCAATAAGATTAGTTTGGCATGATCTCCCTGAAGTAAACCCATGTTGTCTCTGATCTTGAAATCCATGTGTTTTAGATACCATCAATCCTATCCTTTTAACATGGTTTTAATACTTTCCTTACTACTGAAGCGGCAAGGCTTACTGGCCTATAGTTGCCCTACTCCTCCCTATTACCTTTCTTTTAAATGGGCACAACATTCGCTAACTTCCAATCTTCTGGGACTACTCCTGTTAACAATGATTGGTTAAATAAATCTGTTAATGGTTTTGCTAGTACACCACTAAGCTCTTTTAATAGCTTTGGGTGTATTCCATCAGGTCCCATTGACTTATTTGTCTTTACTTTGGACAGTTGAAATAGAACCTCTTCCTCTGTAAACTCACATGTAATAAATGACTCCTTTATCCTTTTTCTCAACTGAGGTCCCTTTCCTTCATTTTCATCTGTAAATACAGAACAAAAATATTCATTGAGGCAGTCAGTTAGACCTTTATCCTCTTCTACATACCTTCCTTCTTTTGTTTTTAATTTAACTAATCCTTGTTTTTCTTTTCTCATTTATGTATCTAAAAATGTTTTATCCCCCTTTTTTACTGACTGTGCTATTTTCTCTTCTGTGTGTGATTTGGAAGCTCTTATAACTTGCTTAGCCTTTTTCTGCCTAATCTTATAGATCATTTTGTCTTCCTCACTCTGGTTTTTTTTTATAATTCCTAAATGCTAACTTTTTGTTTTTAACTATTTTGGCCACATCTGCAGAGTACTACAGTGGTTTCTTGAATTTTTTGCTTTTACTGACAAGCCTAATGCAATTTTCTGTTGCCTTCAATAGTGCAACTTTTAAATAATCCCATTTCTCTTGGACTCATTTAAATTGCTCCAGTCTGATAATGACTCCTCTACCCATATTCTAATTTTAGAAAAGTCTGTTTTTCTAAAGTCTAAAACTTTTGTTTTTGTGTGGTGTGACCCAGTCACTGTTCTTATATTAAACCACACTGACTGATGATCACTGGATCCTAAACTTTCACCTACAGTAATATCTGATACCAAATCTCCATTTGTTAACACTAAATCTAGTATGGCCTCTTTACGAGTTGGCTCCTCAACAACTTGTTTTAGAGACAATCCCAGTAGGGAGTTTAGAATATGTGTGCTTCTGGCACAAGTAGCTAATTTTGTTTTCCAATTTACATCAGGAAGATTAAGTCATATTGATAACCCTTCATTGCTATTTCCTCCAACTATTAGTTATCTAACTCTTCAATTTGTCCAGGGGCTATAAATCACACATACACTGAGTTACTGTCACGTTGCAAATTCTACTTGTGGACTCTATGTTTGCCTCACTAACTTTTATTAGGCTAGATTTTGTACTATCCTTCACGCCACAAATTACCCCTCCCCCTTTCTTGCCTTCCCTATCTCACATATAGAAGTACCCTGGTATTACTCGTCCCAGTCCATTTTGTCATTGTACCCATGTCAGTAACAGCATTAAATCTACACTATCAGTTGCCATTATTGCCACAAGTTCATGGATCTTATTTCCTAAACTGCGAGCATTTGTAGACATGACTCTAAGCTTATCATTTTTTAACACACTTGCTACGGGCACCTTCTGTCCTTGTTTTGGGGGACAATTGGATTGATGTTTTATCACCCTTTTGCCCCCCCCTCCTAGTTTAAATACATCCTAGCAAAACCTCTGAACTGCTCACTGAGGACATTTGTTCCCTTTTGAGAAAGATGCAAACCATCTTTTTTGTACAGCTTATCTCCATTTCAAACAGAGCTACCATGAGAAATAAAGCCAAATCCTTGCTCCCGACACCATTCACCAAGCCACAAATTAAAGTCCCTAATACGCATCCGCTTGTCGTTCTGAGTGTTATGCACAGGCAGAACTTCAGAGAATGACAGTGTGGAAGCAACCTGCGTATATCATTGGCAAAAACACTAAAAACTTCCTTAACCTCTGAAACCTCATTGCAAGTTAAGTCATTTGTCCTAGATGGACAAGTACATCCAATTCCTTTTGCTTGTAACAATATTACAGATCGTCTCCTGTCTCTGTGGTATTAGCTCGACACCTCACAAGACCACCATTGTCCATCCCACCTCTTATAATGGAATCACTTAGCAACAACTGCTTTCTATTAGGCCTCACCATAGTCTCCAAGCGGTCTCCACAAGCACTACCAGTGCCTCTCTCCACAACACCACTAGCCTCAGTGCCACAACACCACTAGCCTCAGTGCCTCTCTACAACACCACTAGCCTCAGTGCCTCTCTCCACAGCCCCACCACTAGTCTCAGTGCCTCTCTCCCACAACACCACTACCTCAGTGCCTCTCTCACAACACCATTTACACTCTGAAAGTGCAGAAAATGAATTATGAAAAGCAGACTGTGCAAAATGCCTTTTATCACAACTCTAGATCTACCAGATCTACAGTAATCCATCTGCCTTTCCTAGCATGTCTCTGCGGCAGTGGCTTTGCAGCAGTTCCAGTCTGAGTTTCTTCACCAGATAATTTACAAATCTCAGACTTCAAAAATACAATCTCCTGCTGCAAGATAGAGAACTGTCTACAGATTAGACAACAACCAAACCTCCAAAAACTGGAACGTGAAACAAATGCATAGCAATTGTTACACTGAACTAAACCTGCCATTCCAATTATGAGAATAATTTAAATCTAACAAATCTTAACTTTTTTTTTTTTTTTTTTTTTATCCTCCTGAATACCTCAGATTACCTCCAGTTTCTCTCCAGAATATCTCCAACTAGACACTTAGAAACAGCACTTGGAAGTAGCACCAAGCTATATTAGACAAGCTAATGAGACCAAGCCTTATATAACTCCTTAAATCACCGCCCACTAGGAATGTTTAAAACCTGATTTGATTAAGACACCTGGGTAGGCCTCTGCTTATTTGCAAACAATAGCTAATTAACCAGCAATCAACAGCAAGTAACTAGCTTAATCAAATCAAATGCCTTATAATTACCAACAGGAATTCAAACCTTGTGCAATCAGTAACCTTTTCCTACAGATGAATCTTACCAACAGGAATTCAAACCTTGTGCAATCAGTAACCTTTTCCTACAGATGAATCTTACCTTAACGGTAAGCTCTTAGCACAACTCTTAGACAGTTGAGCTTCTGTAAACTCTCAGAATATCTCAACGACACATAGAAACAGCATGGAAGCACCAGCTATGATAGACTAATGGAACCAGGCCTTATATAACTCTAAATCACAGCCCACTGGAATTGGTCTTTACCTGGGTAGGCCTCTGCTTATTTTAATGGCTAATTAACCAGCAATCAACAACAAGTAACCCCAAGCAATCAAATCAAATGCCTTATAATTACCAACAGGAATTTCAGAAACCTTGTACAACAGCACACCACCACAGATGAATCTTACCAACAGGAATTCAAACCTTGTGCAATCAGTAACCTTTTCCTACAGATGAATCTTACCTGTAACAGTAGAAAAGAAAGCTCTTAGCACAACTCTTAGACAGTTGAAGCTTCTGTAAAACTCTCCAGAATATCTCCAACTACACACTTAGAAACAGCACTTAGAAGTAGCACCAAGCTATATTAGACAAGCT